GACAGCGCTGCCCTCGGTTCTTGAAGATCGAAGGTTCGACTCCACCAACGATTCGCTCTGTGATTCCTTTAGTCATTTCGATGATAAATTGGTACTGGCATATGCCTGTGAGTTAAATCCGTCATCAGCATGCTCATAAGCAGTCCTTGAAAGAGGGAGCCATCGATAGCCCTGCCGACGGATAATTGCCTCGCAGGGTATTTGCTACCATTCGGACTACTTCCGAGTGCTTCCGCATTTCATGAAGAGTGAAAAACGGAAGAAATTTTGACTTTTGATTTTTGACTATTGTGAGTTTTACTGGATCTGTTATGTAGCTATAGCTGACCCAATCGCTGTAGGCTACTATCTCGAGTCTGATGTTTTTTTGAATAATTTCGAAGAAATAAATATTGCCGTAATGTTTCTGGAAAAATTCCGGTGTTTGCAAGTTACGGAAAGAGACAGGCGTGAACGTCAATTGAGTAAGGAACAACTCGCTGTCTTTTTTTAATGAGAAAGATTATCTCATATTTAAGTACCAGTAATTCCAAGAACCGTATGGATATCCCATGCCAATGATATTACTGGGATGCTCCCATGGGGGCAGCTATGCCATGTCCTTCTATCTTAAGTTGAAATTGTTATGAAGCTCATCAGTTGCACCATCCTAGAAAAATGACGAAAATATGGTGCCCGGGTTTCTGGGGGAATTCTGAATATTTTATAGGATTTAAAAAACCCGGCAGTTGTAAGCGTTGATTAGAGAAAATCTCAAAAAATTTCAGATATCCGAACGCTTCTCAGCACTGGTGTGCTAATGCTCCTGTACGTCTTTTATAACTTTCAGATGTGTATTCTAGGAAAACCGTTTACTTATCACTTAGGTTAAGCAGGGGAACGGGAGAGGACAATGGGACGACCGGGGAATCCTAAAAATTTTCCCAGCATCCCAACTGTTTATGACTTTCGTATGTAAAGGGAACGGAGGGAAACAGGAAGGGAGGTGGACCGGGAGGGAGGGCAGGGAGGTGCAAATCGACCCGGGAATGAGGATGCAGGCACTTCCGCTAGGCCGCTCTCCGCTGCTGTCCTTTCAGTATCTTTGTTTTGTTGAAAAATTCCAGTCATTCAAAAAATAAATTGCAACTAGCAAGCCACAGTTGTCATCATCATCAGCATTGTGACAACATTATCGTCATCATCATCACTATCGTTGTCATCATCACCATCGTCATCACCATCATCATCATCAGCAGCAACAATAACAGCAACAGCATCGGCTTCTCATGTATCCTGTACCTCACTAGCCTCTCTTTGTGCGTTCTCTTTTGCCTCAGTTCCGATGCTTGGAAGAAGTACATTGCCCATCTGGCAGCCGTGTCCAAGCACTCTCCGCTGGGAGCGATTTAGTGGCTCTGTTAGGGAGCGAGGGTCTGAACTTGGACTAGGAGCTAGGGCGTGCTGCTGCTGTTGCTGCAACTGTGTTCCCTCTCAGTTTGTTTCTTCGTTCCCGTTTTGCAGTGCTTCACAGCACACAAACACACTATGGCAGCATCACAGCACCAGTATCCGAGGGGTGGCTGCTTCCGGACGTTGCGCACTATCGTTTTCCTCCTCAATCTCTTCTTCTGGGTACGTTTTTTTTACCCGTTCCGGAGAACTCCACCAAAGACACCAAAATCGCCCGGGCATTCCATTTTCGTGATGTTCCTGAAATGCTTGCACACGCCGGATGCCAGCTGTATCAGATCTATTCGACCCTGAGCTGCATATCTTCAGTTAGTACCCACGGTCCGTCCGATTTTTGTACGCCGTTTCTTCAAGAGTCGCCCGAGCAGTCATTTACTTTGCATAATAGTGGTAATGATGGTAATAATAATAATAGTAATAATAACAATAACAATGATAATAATTTTGAGCAGCAAACCAGTAGCTTGTTACGCTGTGACCGAGACGAAATCATCTTCCGCCGAATCGAATTTTGTGCATGTAACAATCCTGACTTACTAAATCACGAAAAACGATAATTCAGATTCTTCGCTTGACGAGCATTCTTCGGAGGCAGTCTTACGGATCATTAGCATGCAGGGAAGATGGGAGGGGTCTAGTTTTTTAAGGATACAAGTTTGTTTTCTGGATTTGTTAGCGATATTCATTTTACGTGGATAATACATTTCATTCCTGGGATAACTATCTGAATGTCAGGCAGCTTAGCTTTACCAGTTGCTTTGTCCAATGCAGCATCGCCTTAATGGCCAGCCTGCTGGTGATCCTGACGTTCGTTTCGTCTCCTGTAACAGTTCTGCTGACAAAATCAGATTTTTTTTTTGTCATTACGTAAATTACAATTTTACTCAGTTTTTTCTTCGGCAAACAAACTTTATTACCCTATTTACAAGATATCAAAGTAACCGGTAATCATTAAAAACCTCAAATACATTCTTACATTAATTTCACTCTTGTTGCGCCGGTATGTTCACATAATTTCGGTTCTCGGCACCTTCTCTTTTTTCTCCCCACTTCCTCGCCTCTCGTTTTGCTTTCCCTTATAGTGCGGGATTATTCATAAAAGGGGTAAGCCCTTCTAGGACTAAAGTATCGTGGATGGAACCCTTTTTTGCAAATAAGTGGGAGCCAGGAGGAATCGAACCGGACGTTTTCGCATCCGGACGCGACGTGCTATACCACTGCGCCACCAGCGTTTGCGTACCCTGCGACTTCTTTGCCGGCTTTTCGAAAGTTTTCCGCAACACATAGAGAGCGGTGCCCGGTTTTATTTTTTCACTGAATTTAGCCCTTACTGTATGAGCATTTGCAGCTCTCCGGGTTGTTTGTCTTGGCACTTGGTCTATGGTTATTCCTGGATCGTTCAGCCAATGGTATCCTGGGTGTGAATGGTACTTCGCAGACGAGCGAGCATTTTCCGCTAATATGCTACCTGTTAATCGGCGCTGGAGCGCTGATGATTCTTATCGGTGGACTGGGATGCTGCGGGGCATGGCAACTCAATCAGATCATGCTCACAGTGGTATGTGCATTTTTCCGGAGTGCTGAGCTGGTTCTGAGTAAAATTTCTCGTTTATTTCTAGACTACCTTAAAAGAGGATATTGGTAATTTCTTGTTAGTAAGGTACCTCATCGTGAACTAGGAGTGGCAGTTTTGAAAAAAAAAAAAAGATGGGATAGACGGCATATATAAGTAGGAAGCGAAAATGGCCAATCCCCTTCTCAGCACCTCAGTTGCCCTACGCTTCCATGTGTTATATGTAAATGTCGTGCCTTGAGACTCGGAGTCCTCTCATGATTTTAAAATAACATGGTTGATACTGATAATGATTGTGTATTATTATTGTGTGTAGTAGCGGATGTGATTGCGAATTTTCGTACCCAGTCTCATGCCTCCTGGTTTTTTTTTTTTATTTTTTTTTCTGTTTTTTGAATTAAGTTCGTTTTATTGTGAATCTCCTAACACTCAGTACTTGCGAACGTTACGTCGTGACTGAACCGATGGTAACATTCGAGACAAGATGGTGATGCTCAATATGCGTCAGCGACATCTTGAAACAGCTAACTCCCTCGAGAAAACCGTTGAACTGGTAATTCCTTCAGGAGGACCGAACAAGCGTCCGAATCGCGAACAGACTGACCATCAGATGACCAAAGCAACTGGAAAAGTTGTAAAATGCATAAATAGAGGATCATTGCTGCTCTAAATTTTCCTGTTCCGAAGCAATTGTTTTTTTTGGCTTGAATTGCTGATCAAGATTCGAACTAGCGATTTTTCCGTTGTAAAATTCAGAATATGCGGGCTATTTGCAACTTAAATCCCAATACAATTTTCGCATTTGTAATACGCTTGATACGCTGCTACTGCTGTAACCATAGTGCCTGAAATGTTCATTAAAATTCGCACAAAATACTCGCTGTTTTTTCAGTTCTTCATCATTTTGTTCCTGGTATTTTGCTTGCAATTAGCCTGTGCCGTATTAGCATACAGGCAGCAGGAGTTGATCAGACGTTATATTGATCGATCAATGTACCGTATTGTACAGGAACTCTACGCTTTAAAACCAATGTACAAGGAACTGTTTGACAATATACAGGAAGAGGTGAATTTTCCAGTTGAATTCTAAATATCAAACAAATCCACCTATGGTACCTGTTAATTCATTGTCTGGTTCTCCAACTGTGCACCTGGCAACTTTTCCAATTGCTTCGAGCAGTATTGTGTCAGCGGTGGTCATCCTGCAGGCCACTCTGTCGTCCGTCTCATCTCCTTAAGTTAGTCTCTTAATTTAACCATCACATGTCTTGGAGAACTAGGAAAAAAGATATTAAAAAAAAAAAACGTAATTTTTGAAAAAAAGATTAAAAAAAGCATAACTTTTGAAAAAAAAAATGTAAAAAAAAAATGGTGTGGAATAATTTGCTTTACAGTTTGAATGTTGCGGTGTTCGAGGATATCGCGATTGGCTGTATTCATCGTGGGGACGAGATGTGCCCGGAAGAACCGAACTTGGTATAGGTTAGCTGTTCATTCTCGTTTCTTTTACAACCATCATATCCGGAGCAAGCCCTTGAACCCGGCCTTATAAGTTTGGTAGCTGCATACTTCACTGTCTGCACAGTGACGGTCTTTAGAGGGGATTTCTGTGATTTCTTAAAAAACGAATACCATGAATTTTAAGATTTTTTGGACAATCGATGTAGGTATCTCATATTAGTGATGTTACTGGAATGCTCCTACACATCCGGCGCAGCGATGCCTGGGGACCAATAGCATGATTCAATTTCACTTGCTTTCTTATGGCAGCTACGCCTGTTTTGGGCAGGAAGTAAATATGCGTCACAATCTCCAACCAAAAGTTGCACTCAGAAGGGGGGCTGTCGGTTAGTGCAAATTTCACAGCATCGTCAATGTCCTCAAAGAGTGGTGCCGAAAGGAAAAGATCGTACCCACCTCTTCATTACCACTGTACAAAAGGCATTGATGACCGAACAAACAGTTAAATTTTCCATCAGTTGTGCGGCTTGCAAGAAAGTAAAATTCGATGGGCAGGGCACACTTGTTAGCCGTGACAGCAACCAGTACATATTAGTTAATGATACCCTCTAAAAAGGAAACGACTATTCGAGTGTATCCCACTGGATCGAACACTAACAGCAAACGTTTGCTGTGAGCTCACACGAAGGATATGTAGCCCGGGGCCGAACGACCCTGAAAGCAAACCATTGATAATATCACTAACATGGGATACTCACACTGACTGCTTCCAATTAGTCTTAGTATTTTTTTGTTTTAGCTTCAGAATGCTCCGAGAGAGTAGAAGTTTGGTGGGGGATGTGTGTATGAAACTGCAAATTTCGTCCCTTCCAGGTTATTCGGACATTGGCAAAGTGCCTCGATCGTGCTGCAACGAGCAGGGCCTACGCGATTATCCGATCGACTGTGGACTGAGTTTCGATAAACTTGAATTATGGACCTACGAACCGTTCATACATACGAAGGTTGCTTTTTTTTTCAATTATGTCCTCCTTCATTAACAATGGACAATCTTTGATGGTACTGAAATGCGGTCCAAGGCTTCATGTTTTCGTCACGTATATCACAGAAGTCTCGCGAAAAGCCGACAAAACTTGAACTGTGTGTTGCATATGGCCCCAGATAGTGTGGCACACATACAAATTATATTTGCTGCTTATTGTGTCCAAATGCGATGGGGATGATTCGATTCCCTCCCGGTTCATAACCATTCGCAAAAAGGGCCTCTGTTACAATATTTTTACGCATATCTCTTGATTTGCCCCAATATCCCTATCTTTGCTTAGCCGCTGGTCCCGTCATTTACAAACAGCAGTAAAAGTTAAGCTAAAAATGTTAGAAAAAAATAATTTTCACAAACAAGTTGCACGTTTTATATCGCTTCAGCACTAAATTATATAAGGGAATAAGCCTCCCGCCCCAAACGGCACTGGCACCAGTGCTGCAAAGCCCATGTCTAAAGCTAAAAATAAAGTAGACTAAAGCCTAAAGTAACTCTAAGTAGCACTGTGTTACAACTCTATTCCTAGTTTTTCCGTAGTTCCAGTGTGGGAGGCCTTTTATACTTTTCATAGTAGCAGTGTTAATAAAAAAAAAAACCTACCAAAACAATAAAAAATTGAAAATTTGTTTAGGGTTGCAGTGAGGCACTGTACGATGCAGTAAACAGTCATTTGGATATTGCAATTGCTGTATGCGTCATTCTGGGCGCTATTGAGGTACTTGCTTTGATCAGCTGCTGCTGCTGTTGTTGTTTCATCGTGGTAGTATCAATTTTGCATTGTTAGCACAGCTGTCAACTTCCCTCTTTTGATCCTTGGTCCTGAGCT